TTAGATTCCATCCTTCAACGTAAGCTACTAAGTTTAATTATGTGTGTATTATTCAATCTCAGCTACCTTCAAAGCTCTGGTTATTAATACCTGAAGTCTAAGAAGCCGGGTAACATCTGCGGCTTATGACGTAACATTGTCAAGATAAGCTAAACAGATTGTTGTGACATCAACTCGCCTTCCTAACACCTGATTATTTCAATAATAATTTATTATTGTCTCCAAATTGTGTCATGTGTGCCCAAATGGGCATAAGTTAATTTAAAATCTAATAGCTCACTAGCGCCCTCCTTTCAATGTCAGAACAGTATTAAATTCAAATTTCACAATTTCGATTTATCATAAATCAATATCACAAACTCCTTTTTGTTTTTTTATATCAGTTTTACATATTTTGTGGCTTCAAGTAGAAGAAGAAACACATTTTTTACAAATAGCTTGAATGACGTATAAGATGACAGTTGACTCTTGACGCTGGATCTACATATCTTACGATATGCAATGTTGATTAACGACGTCGTTGAACACCTCGGTGTTCCCGCTGCTCGTTTGCGCCCTTCTGTTATAAAAAAAACGAGTATTTTTATGCATAGGTACATGACTAAGATTACCAATATATAGCTACTTACCTCTTCAAAAGAATCTCCATAACAGGGTACAGGCTTTCAGTAAATATTTCATGAACGGGGGCAATTTAACCTCATTGCTTCCGCTTATAAATCAACCCCAATTCCTTTAACCCTTTATTAATCTATGCACAAGGGGAAAGACAGGTAATAACAAGGAAACTCTTCATCATATTAATATCCTTATACAAATTCCACTGCACAGATAAAATATCAATACTTTGATATAATTGCTTCTATATTTTTCAAGACGACAGGAATACTAATATCTTTGTAAACATGTCTTCTTTTTTGTGAAAAAAAAAACTTAGAAAAACGTTATATAATTTTTTAAAGGAAAAAGCGGTATAAGCCAACAAAAATCACAATGAATTTATTCCATGACCACAGGTTTTGAAACCAAAAAAAAAATAATTATAAGGCATACATTAATATATAATACTATTACCATTTAGCATAAGGAATATGTGTACGAACGAAAAGGCTGTAGATGTCATTTGTTCTGATAAAAAAAAATATTTTATTTCAAATACAATGAACCTAAACAACTGTTCTCTACAAATGATTTTCAGAGCTAATTTACGCAACCACTAGGCAGTAAAAAATATGTCTGCCAAGCGTGAGTTTGCAACCCGAAAGTCAGGCTGGTAGTAAAATAATATTTTAATATTATTTAAAAGTAAAATGAAGTCATATTTTCGCTAAAATCCTCCTATACACGTTACAAGAGAAATGTTAAGTCTAATTCGTTTTATTTCTAACATTATCTTTGGAGTTCTTTTGTGGTCGTCTTTAAATCTTAGTGGCATCACTAATTAACTCCCAGAGCGAGCAGTCGGGACAAAGGCTTTATCTTGCACTCCTTTACTCTTTAAGCTTATTTCATTCTTTATATCTAATACTCGGATTATCTACTAAAGCAAATGATATCGTATATTCAACAGATACTACGAAATTTTTACTATGCGGTCACAATAAGATGATACCTTAAAGATGACGTCAAACCTGTCAATTCAAATGTCATCTCTCCTTTAACCCTAAGATTTATTTCATTATTTTATTGTGTGCTAGCTGTGTAAATTAAAAAACAAAACTTTATTAGTATAACATGTGCTCTCCCAGTCTATGTTCTACATCTATGCCAAATTTCAGCGAGATCCATGCCGTTTCGGAGATACCTCCTAATAAACATCCATCCATCCAAACATTCTCATTTATAATATTAGTAACATATCAGGCATGAAAAGCATCCAACGACATACATACATAGATATAATATTTTAAAAACGCTTTAGTTATACTTAAGATTGCTAATTTAAAAAAAAAATGTACGTATTACGTAATTTTGTATAGGAAACTTTATATTCTCAAGTTACGTGTGGATAAAAATACATTTACAACTTTTCCATTTTTTTCCTTTTGATAATCTTAGGCCATAAATATAAAAGTTTTATAACATGCTTTCGCTTTAACGCGGTATAAAAGGGCTTTATTTTATAAAACTGATTGTAACAATATCGAAAGTTTGCGGACCCTCAGCCGAAATTGCGACAGGATTCGAGATTTTTTACGTGATATTGGCTTTTTTTTTTAAAGATTTTCATAAGTCGTTTAAACTTTATATTATCTATAATTCTGGTTACGGCTACTCGAATATTTGATTGTAACCTTTAAAGAATTAGAATAAAAATAGAATTGTGCCTCTAGAGTCTAGATGGAGGTTTTATAACAGTGGTAGAGCCCGCTTTAACATCTTCGCACGAATCGGCCCGGCTCGCCCGGTGAAATACCACGACCACACAGAAGACAGGCGTGAAGTGGAAGCAATTCCTCGTTTCGTCTGATGAGTGTGCGTCCCGGAGGCATAATTTAGTCCATTTTCCCTTTCCATCCTTTTCTTTATAAGGAAAGGATGGGAAGTGGAACTGGACTTTCCGGTTGAGAGGATGCAAGGAAAGGGAAGATATTTTCTTTCTGTGCATCCTCTCCTCCGTTGATTAAAGGTAGGCAACGCATATGCGATTGCGTATGTCTATGGGTAACGGTCACTTCGCTATTTCAGCGATTTCAGGTGGCCGAACGCTCGTTTGCCACATTATTATATAAAAAAAAGCGTGTGGAGTAAATTTTTGTGGCAAATATCCCAAATATTGACATTTCAATTATAATGTTACTAATATTAAAAATGGTAATGTTTAGATGGATGGATGTTTGTTACAAGGTATATATAAAACGGTTCACAATGAAACGAATCACAATGAAATTTGGCATGGATATAGAACATAGTCTTGTAGAACACATAGGCTACTAATTTAGTTTTTTTTTTAATTGCGCGCAAACCCGTCCGCGTGACAACTATTGTTTACACAAAAATAACGTCTTTTATAGTGTTAATTGAAACATGATGATGAATTCGATTTATTTGTGTTTGTAAATATATATTCAGTACTCCGACGTTTTGAGACCTCCCAACTTTATCAGAATGTATAAACAACCTATTCATTTCACTGAAATAAAGGAGAAAATCATATGTTTATTTATTTAACGTTCACAGTAGAAGCTCGTCAGCGGAGTTTCCGTGTCGTATGAGCGTAGTTTAGTTTGACCTTGTTAACTGTCCGTTGGGAAATCTCCGACTGTCTCCTTTATATATCTTGTATGAGATATGAAGGTATACGAAACGATGTAATCATTTTCTTTGCATCCTTTCATCAAGATTAAAGACGTCGAAATGCCGGAAGCGAATTCGCTAGAACTTTATTGTGTACTCACTTATCTTGGGTTATTTTTGTACTCAGTAAAAATGACTTAAGTAGTTTACAATTTACTTGATACTTTGTTAATGAAGTTAGTTACACTATTTATAACTCAAGAAAGGGTTTACCGATATGGCTGAAAATTGGTGATGATGTAGCTTAGAGCCAGGAGACGGACATAGGATACTATTTATTCTTTTTTTTCGAATTTATGCCATGAAGAGCTGCTTTTTGTTTAACTTATCTATATATTAAGTTTTTTTTTATATACCCACGCGGACCGAGTCGCGGGTGACAGCTAGTTTATTAAGAAAAAGAAAGTTTAGATGCGATAGTTTAGATGTATGGACGGATGTTTGTTAGAAGGTATTTCCAAAACGGTATAAGTATAACGGATCTTGATGAAATTTGGCACAGATGTAAAATATAGTAGGGAGAAACACATAGGCTACTTATAAAGTTTTTTTTTAATTCTGCGCTGAGGGGGTTAGGGAAGGCAACTAGTAACTATTAAATTCTTTTGTTAGATTCAGTCAATATGAATAAAATTGCAGCTCAAATTACGAACCGGAGTTTCCTCAACTTAGTATATCTACAAATAAAGTTTTAACTGTACTAATTCCGGGCGGAAAACGGCTGATATCAGTTTAAAGGTTTGGCAACGATCAGTTTAAGTTAGTCTCAAATGAATATGCGAATGGCGAATGAACTTGTGTAAGGAATAAATGCCGTTATGAAACCTTGTCATCATCATCAGCTCCCCACCGAAGGGCTCGGAGCCTACCCTAAGTTAAGGGTGATTAGGGCATAGTCATTAGCCCTTAGTTATGAAACCTTAGCTAAAAACAAATGAAGTCGAAAACGCGTTTAAAGTTAAGAGTTTTATTAACATATATGTAGTTAGAAGAGTTAAATACAATTGTTATATAGTGAACGAATACCAAATGGAGAGAAAAAAAATTTCAAAACTAATTTCTTCATATTATTAACCCTTAACGTGTAGAATGTTATATAACGTATTATATTTAGATTCAAATTGCTATAGAAATAACATAGTATATGTAATTTAATTCACGTACAATATAATCTTTAAAATCAGTATTCAGATTTCCCTCTCTTTTCCCAGTGATTACGCCGTCTTAAAAAATTACCTTTTGTTAGATCTCAAATATCGTTAGAGAATTTCTTCACGGAATTCCATATAATAGCTTCCTAAAAATTAAAATATAAAAGGCGTTATATGAATGAAGTGCGCTATAAATATATATCTATAAGCATCTATAATGCAATATTATACTAGATGTCGCCCACAACTCCGTTCACATCCTATGTGTCCTTCCATACTATGCTCTACATCTATGCCAATTTTCTTCGAGACCTGTTAAGACGTTTTGGAGATAATTTCTAACAAAAGTCCATCTTAACATTCGCATTTATAATATTAGTAAGATTATCTCTCTGCATATGTTTATACCAGGTAATCATCAATCTAAAGGATTGTATATTTAATTTTTAGGATCACTTTGTTGTCCGTCTGTCTATCAAGACCCCTTTTCTCAGGTTCGCGTGAAGGTATCAAGCTGGAATTTATTTAAAAATATGAATGTGAAATTCATAAATGTCGAGCAACGATTTGTACAAAGGTATGCAAATGGCCGTTAACACGTTTAACAAGACAAATACAAGTTGCCTATTGGAACAACTTATTGAATTACGTCACGGCAACTTCTGCATAAACTTGTGTATAATTATCACGATCGGAGCGAAGTAATTCCTTGAATAATTTTAAGCATTGGCCAGTTCCTGTGAATTATTATAATGAATATTAATCTGTATTTCCATTTTGAATTTTAATTACTGGTTTTCATAGAAAATTAATATAATATTTAAAATGTGAATGGAAAAAGATCTTCATAAATGTAAGTTCACTTTTATAATGGACTAGCTGTCGCCCGCGAATTCGTCCCCGTATAAAAAAACTAAAAAAAAAGAATAAATAGTATCCTATGTCCGTCTCCTGGCTCTAAGCAATCTCCTCACCAATTTTCAGGCATATCGGTAAAGCCGTTCTTGAGTTATAAATAGTGTAACTAACACGACTTTCTTTTATATAGAAGAAGATTAGATGTATTATATTCAAAATATGTTTTTATTTATTTCATTGAGTAATCCATCCTATGCCAAAATAGGGTTACCGTGGGTTTCTCAATGTCAAAATTTTCGTTTAAAACACATTACTCTCGTTTATACTCTGTTTTCTCAAAGATAATGACATGAATATGTTTTTAAAGATTTTGGTTTCAGAAACCCGCAGCTTGTATATTATTATTTTTTTTTCTATAAAATCATAACACAATTATTTTGATCCTGCAAGAAGTTATGTTAAAAATAACTTAAGGATAATTGTATAGTCCTGCGGCGTTATAATAGCGGGGGCTTGTTGACGCAGCACCCAAACCTCTTGTTAGGGGAAAACCTTAATTGTACGAACACTTGTAAAAGAAAGGGTATTGTTTGTGGGTTTGTAGGCAGCCGGTTAGTTTTATATCTTATGTACGTTGTGGGATTTAAAAAAAAATAGTTTTCTTGGCTTGTATTTTATTTAAATACTAAATATCAAAATTTATTCCTGTGTACAGATAGAAATGAAAAGAAGGTTACAGATTTTAATATATCAAGACAAGAAGTTTGAGCGCTTTAAGTTTTTGTGTTTTAAAAGTTAATTTAATAACCCATTTTTAAACAATATCATAACACTTTTTAACTGTTCGATAAGTAAACAATGCTTCAAAAGAATAGTCGAAATTATGTCAACTTTATTGCCTTTATTGTGCGCTTAGTCAAGAAGTATCACGTTTGAATAGTCTAAAATGATTCTACTTTGTCTACCATTAAATATATGTCCTTGTTACAGTGCCTATGACCCAGCTAGTAGCGGTAGCAGGAGAGCCGGTGTACTTGCCGTGTGATATCGCCACACAGGACGAAGACGACGCGGTACTACTTGTTTTATGGTACAGAGAAGACCTTGGAACGCCTATATACAGGTACGATAGACATTACTTACTAATTTTTATAATATTTCGCTTAAAAAGTGCAAAAAAGGTCGAAGTAACCGTTGTCCCTAAGACTATGTAGGATATTTTGAAATCTCTTGAGCACTAAGTATACCACACAATAATTTATAAACTATAAATTGTTAACAGTGTTGATGCTCGAGAACGTGACTTCGGTGTAGCAGAACGGTGGTCAGATGAGAGCGTATTTGCATCAAGAGCTTATTTCCTACCAGAGCGGAGACCAGCAGAACTGGGTGTGGATCGGGTGAGAGCATCAGATCAGGGGATATACAGATGTCGCGTTGACTTCAAACAGGCGCAGACGAGAAATTCCAGAGTTAATTTGACTGTTATAGGTAAGATGATGATTTAAACATTAATTTTTCTAAACAAAAGGTATAAAATATTAATAAAAGGACAAATCTCTTTGTTATTTTTGACCACACTTATACACCAATTTGAGATCTTGATAAGACCTTATTTAATTTTTATAATCAAAGTAACATGTATGTGGGTAAATCTCTTAAGATTGGCACTGGTCCAACTAGACAGCGCTTGTAATATCAGATTAATATTCTTGATTCTAGATTATTTAGCTATAGTCTTCCACTTTCACTTAATTCCTAAAATGTCTTTGTTCTTTGATATACGAGTATATACATATTTTCAAACGTTCGTCTTGTTTTTAAGACAAATAGGAGATAAAAGTTGTGACAGGAAACAAACACGATATGTGTAAGGGTTGGGAAAATGTATAGATTATTGCTGGTACTTCAATAAGAGGAATAAGGAAAAAAACATAAAAAAATAGCAGAAAAACGCACCGAAGCTGTATTGGATAAGAAATGTTGCGAATTTTATTTATTTATTTATTTGTTATAAATTAAACAAACAGGTTGAGCGTTGGAGTCTGTTATAGTATGAACTGTGTGATAGACATATGTACATAGTTAGCAAATTAGTGTTTGTTTGTGTGTGCGTGTGTGGGTATGTGTATGTGTGTGTGTATATATGTGTTTGTGTATGTGTGTGTATGTGTGTGTTACCGTGTGTCGCTGTCAATTATATTTGTGTTCGTTTCGTGTTTTTTTTTAATTGTAGATGTATTTATATAAGTTGGTTTTACAGTTAACAAAATGTTGCTATAGTTAAATTTAAAATTAATCCTAAATGTTGGTGAACGACTGAGTATACATGTAATTTAAAAATCACAAAATCAAATCACGCTGTGTTTATTAGATATCAGATTGTGAAATAGCGTACCCTTTTTCATCTTATTTACAAAAGACATTTAATAAAAGATAAGATCTTATTTTTAAATTTTCTTCATTAAATACAAAACAACCAATTTAGTAGCACAAAGGGAGGCCAGTACGTATCATGTTCACAAAAAAGGTCCGATAGAATTGAAAAGATTACAATTTTATAAAGACCCAAATCCGAATCCAATTTACTTTATAAATTGATCAGACCGATTAAAGGTAGAAAAAATACGAAAACAATACTATAAAGAATAACTAGTAAATATACATCTTAATTATTAGGACAAAACTATTAAAAAAAAACCGTGACGACGACGAAATAAACCAAAGACACCACGTGGTAGAGCTGCTAGCTTATTAAAGCTGTTCTTTTTTATTATATAGATTATTCTAAGTGGAGACTAAGTATTTAAGTGTAAAAGTTCAAGTCTTAAAGTTCAATAATACGTTGGATTAATATTTATTAAGCTATTTATATGTCTAATAGATAAAAATAAACATTTTTTTATTCAACGATTGAAATTCGACGACAAATTTTAGAATAACTCTGTACAGCGGAAAATCCATACAAAGCTTTTGTGTCAGCTTTAAAAAAATTAACATGAAGCAAATTCAAGCGCTAAATCCGCTTAGCGGGCCGACTGGTTGATCCATAAAGTTACTGACGGTAAATCTCACGATAATAATCCTTAATAACCCGGTTGAAGGCCGCAATGATTGACAATATATGTATTAACTGAAACAAAGATATATATTCAATATTTGCTGCAAATAAAATTGGCATCAGTTATAAAACAGCATTTTAAAGAAGGACGAGAAAAATATATTCATCTCTTTTTCTCCTTTACCTCACTTATCTTTCTTCTCTCTCATGTAACGAAATTTGCGTTAATATGTCACATACCTATATTTTTTTATATCGATTCCACTCTTCTATCCAAACTTTCCATTGTAAATATATTATAATTTAAATACAATTTAATAAAAGCAAATATATCTCAAAAACTTGTGTGGAGAGACGAGTGTTCGTTTGATATGAACTAAGTAGTTTTGAATTAGATTATGTAGATGGAGACACAATCGCGGCGGAGTCTTGGCGGCAGCACAAACAGCAGTCCATTGTAATGCACTTGCGGTCTCCCACTTGCCAACATATCAAATAACTACACGTTTTCCTTCATCATAGTAGATATATACGTGGCTTGTATAATTTGATCATAATGAAAATAGTTGATATTACAAAGTATCAAAACGTCCAAGTTCTTTAGTATTTTTGCAGGATAAAAAAGAAAATTCCTCGTAACTCCACATTCTAGTATAACTATAAATATCATATAATACTATTATTAAATAAAAAAGGTTTTTGCCCTTTTCCTGTGATAAAATTACCTCGTAGGAAAAAAAATTGAGAAAAATGATCTTGACAGACAGACGAACGGACAACAAAGTTATTTTTCCTACGAGGTACGGAACCCTTATAGGATAACTTTGTTGTCCGTTCGTCTGTCTGTCAAGACCATTTTTCTCAAAAACGCGTGAAGGTATCAAGCTGGAATTTATTTCTTCTTGGTATTGTTACTTTCTAACAGAAAAAGCATATAAAACAGTTGAAATAACAAAAACGATTATGTTATATTTATTATATAAGTTACTAGTTAAGTTTTCATTAGTTAAAATAAGTGTTGAAAACAAATCGATATTTATTAGTATCTGGAAGAGAAGGGACATCCCTCGAGTGTACTCCACGTGTGTTAGTTAACACGATGCTTCCTACTTATGTTCAGACCCCGTGTTAACCTACTGTAAAATTACTTTAATAAGGCTAATAAATGTTTACAACTTTGCAGATAAAATGGAAATGTAATGGAGTTTATATATTTAGTTGGAAAAATCACTCTTGAGAATAAGTTTAATTTGAAATTTTCGATGTTAACCGCCTAGATAACGAGTTGCACAGAGGAATAGTTTTTGAAAGCAAAATGAATACTTCCTAATTTGGTAATGTTCTCTTTAACAGTTCCGCCAAGTAAAATGGTGATAATTGACGACAAAGGTGATGTGAAGCAAGCTATTGTAGGTCCATACATCGAAGGGGATACGTTTACGTTGAAATGCGACGTATCTGGGGGTAAGTTAAAGTAAAATTTGCACTAACAATAAACTATAATAATAGTGTCAAATATTTGGTTAATAAAAGCCTTACAGAGTCCTTTAGCAGACAACTTTAAATTAGTCACTTCGAAATATTGCATAAAAATAATCTAGTAAATTAAAATTGTATCCTAGATTACTTTTTACATAATCTTTTAAGGAAATGGTTAATCGAAAGTAAATACTTTATTTTCAAGAGCATCGGTGGCTCAGGGGTCAAGCACTTGACTTGCAATCTGCAGTTCCTGGGTTCGAATCCCGCCATGTACCAATATGTTTTTCAATTTCCGATTTACATATGTACATTTATCCGACCTTCTTAGGTCGAAGAAAAACATCGTGATGCAACCTGCACATACATATCTGAGAAGAAATTCAATGATATGTGTGAAGTCAACCAACCCACACTGGGCCAGCGTGGTTGACTATGGCCTAGTTACCCGTGATTTAGGGTAGGCTGCGAGCCCCTCGGTGGGGACGTATGATGAGCTGATGATGATGATGACTTTGTTTCAATATACACCATGTGTGGGTTAGCTATTTGAGTCCGGTTTTTACAACCGGAATGGGGGCCCAACATGTTAGGGATATTAATTAAAAGTCGACACGACTGCAGTCGAAGAATTTATGGCTGTCCCTAAATCATATTAGGGTTACGATGTGAACGAATGGAATAGCCGATGTCGAAACGTTGCCCATTAACCATTACGAAGGTGTTTAAAATTATTGGAATGGACCCAAAATTCTAATACGATTTTCGACCTCTGTAACATTTTGACCTTAATTGAAGAGAAATACAGAATTATTTACATTGGGTACGACATTAATTACGCTATAGAATTCAGTCCTACTGGATTTAAAGTAAATTCTTTACGTATATTAACATATTTATTTTTAGAATGTAAAAGAGTTTTATTCCAATTCTTTTATTATACTAAACAATACTTGCTTCGATAGGTTTTGAAACAAATAAATACCAATGTTGTCTTTGAGTTAATAATTATATAATATACTTTATATTGTGTAGTGAGCTTGTAAGTATCTAATTATCTGGCGTGAATCCTTGATCCCATTAATTTTTCATATCTACAAAAATTAAACGATTCCCTGGTCCATTATTACCTTTATTAATATCCGAAGCTATCAACCCGAAATGGACCAGCGTGCTTGACTAAGGCCTAGTCATCCCTCACTTAGGGTAGGCTCCGAGCCTTTCCATTCGGACGCATAGTGAGCTGATGATGATGATGAGGTCGAATAAAATACTTGCAAAACGAGTAAACATCAACAATAACGCACTACAATAATTCATGACACAATCAGGCAGGCCTCGTCCCTGGGTAAAGTGGTTCCGTGATGACGTCGAGGTGGACACCCCTGCGGTGCCCTTAGCGGGCGGCGGTGTGAGGGGCGTGCTTCATGTGGGCCCTCTGACACGCGCCGACGTGCGCGCCGCATTTACCTGTAGAGCTTCCAACCATCTCAGGGCACATCCTATTGAAACAACACTCACTTTGGATATGAACTGTAAGTGATATACCTAATGCCTTTCAGTTCCGAAAACTCACGGTGTACATTTCACATCAAGAACTTGACTGAAACTTTATCAGGTCAATTGCTTGATAATAGGACCACCTAGTGGTTTATGGTCTAATTTACTTTTGTAAAAACTGGTCTACGAAGAAGGTTAATCAACATAAAGTTTGAAATTTATAAAAATAATATGAAATATCGTTAAAAATATCTGGAATAAAACAATAAAAGCGGTAGATTTAGCAATTTTTTACGTCACATCAGTGATTTAGCATCAAGATAAATTCATTACGCATCGGGAACATCGATCTAAAATCAGGCGTATGACAAGTAAATTATTACCGCAGTAAATGTCTTGCGGCTATGAATTTATGAATATAAAGATACTTGAGTTCACAATTTTCGTAAAATGTGATTTAAAGTACCTTAAAAGAAAAATATGTTTTAGAAATATATCCATTGTCTAAAAATATACTTACTTTTTATTCATAAACATGTATACTACTAGATAAGTCATATCCTGACATTTATAGTAGTATTTTAATGTATTATATCATTTTTAGTTCCACCATTAAGTGTGCACATTCTCGGATCAAATCAACCGCTATCAGCAAGCAGAAGATACGATTTACTATGTCAGAGCTCAGGCTCCCGACCTCCTGCTTCTATCACATGGTGGAAGAATGGACACAGAATAAACAACGCTAAGGAAACGGTAAGTAACTCTCTGAGATGATAATGATCAAGGTTATAGTTGGGATAGAAACTGGAGCAAAGTGTATCAAATAACAGTATTGAAAGAACTACCAACATTAGCCATTTCATTTAGGAATTTACTATAGGTACCTATTTAACTCATCTTAACAAAACTTTCTGCAAAACTTGCTTTAATAGAATATAGAATCTAAGATTTTAAAGGAACTTTATTCAAACCAGTTACTTCGCAAATATATTCTAAGATAATTTAATTACATCAACAAAAGCAAAGCTAATCTGATATCAAACGATCGCAACTTTCCTAATCAGCATTACCATGAGAAACAACATCGCGAAGTCGACTTAAAATAAGAGCACGTAAAAGTAATAAATGTAGATTGAACGGCTCGGCTAGTGCTCGGGGCGGACTCAAATCGGTCGTAAGGGAGCGCCGTTCAGCTTCAGGCGACAATGTTTGTTGTCGCGGGTGATGCTTGCTTGTTATATTAAGGACGGAGTACGGAAGGAAATTAAAACGGACAGATAAGCCTGGAAAATGTTAATGTTATACAATACTTTGGTTAGAATCTATTTCTTCGTTGACGAGCTTAACTTGTTGAATATCCTCCACATAGTCACTCTTTTCTAGCCAACAAACGTTTGTTTAAAAATTTCAATTTTGCGACGATTTATGCTCGTGGTATTTGCAATATTTTAGTTTCCATAACAAGAAAGTATGTGCAAACTCGTTCATGAAAGTGAAATTGTTCTGCGTGAATTAATTAAATTCGTTGATCAGCAACCTCGCCGCCAGGAATTAATATTAACGCGGCCCGATTCAATCTAATTCAACCTTTAGAGACTCGAGCAATGGCTGCCCTAATTTATTATTTACCTGGAAGCTTTCATAGAGCCTCTTCAATTTATTATCAAGGTATCAGTGTTTGGTGTAATTTGACGTCAATTTAACGTCAGTTATTAGTCAAATTGAAGAGCCATTCAAACTGTTTGGTTTTGAAGTTATTGCGTTCCATCGTTACGGCTAAAGGTTCATTATTACACAGTTTTATGTAATTTTAAAGTAATGGATATGAATGGAATGATGAATTTAATGGATAGAGCAGTTACTCTTCTTTTGCTAAAAGAATTTGGTTAAACATCAAAAGTAGTGTATTTATTTATATCAATAAAAATGAAACCAACCTAAAAATAACATGTGCATTCATTGATCTCTTTCGATTAAAATTTCCATAAAATGTCACTTTACAACGTTCAGTCGCGATACGAACGAAAACGAATACAACTTTTAATGTATTTGGCAATTCAAAGAATATATGTCTTGGGCCCCAAAGCACCCATTCCCCGAAAAGAGCTAATAAAAACATTAAAGCCCTTCGAAACTGAAGAAGCCTTAATAGAAAATGTATTATTGCAACTCTGGAATATTTCTATTATAAAGCAATAAAATTTCACATTACTTTAATGGCAGATGATTCCAGATACAATTTTATTTAAACAATTTTAACCAGAATATCTTTAGTTAAAGATTGCTCGTCGTAATTTCCTGGTAGATAAAACTTTCAAATTGTTTCAAATATTAATTACTTTATTTCCAATACATTGTACAGTTTAATGAATCAATTTTTCAGCTATCATCAGATGGAAACACAACAACATCGACTGTGTCTTTACAACTGACCAAATCAGACGCGGGAGCCAAGTTGGCGTGTCGCGCGTCCAATCCTCAGATGCCCTCCGTAGCTGCGTTGGAAGACGATTGGTTGTTAGACATACAATGTTAGTCAAGTATCGTTAAAATGTGTCCTTTTTATTTAAATTAGTATAGTTAATGATCTTAGTAGGTCCTCATAACATGAGGTAATCAGGAAAAGACAAATAGAGTACAATAATGGTTGGATGGTGCGATTGTAACTTTTTCAAGGGAGCAATAGTATCGGGAACAATAAATGTGGTACTCCTGTTGCTTCTTGAAAGTATTTGGAGGACTCTGGATTATATATAATATAAATAAACAAATAAAAAACATTGTATGCGGTTACTAAAATAATGTTAACAGCAAAATTCACCGCTTAACCTCAGTGATTGTTTAGTTTGTTAACATTCCACGTCGCGTTGCGGTATTCCAATTTCATTTTGCAATTTATTTTGATGCACACAATAAAATTAAATAATTGTTGTTCTATAACCAAGCATTCTATTTGTTTTGTTATAACTCTGTGTAAATTTTTAGATGTTCCCGAAACTACAGTAAGATTAGGGACTAATTTGGATCCGAAGAACATTAAAGAAGGTTCAGATGTATATTTTGACTGTATAATCAAGGCGCATCCTTACGTATACAAAGTAGAATGGAGACATAATGTAAGTGATCAATTCCCAATGCATTAGAATTAACTTATGACATAAAATCAAAGTACAAAGTTTGTTAAAGACTAAGAAAACTTGAAATAATTAAAAACGAAACATATTTTAAAAGAGTTTCTAATAATTTATTGCTAATAATAAATTATCTTGCTATCCTGAGTTAATATTATAAATTTCATAAACACTAGAATTTTCATAATATGGAAATAATAATTGTATTAGGATTTTTTTTGTTTCAGGGTAAATCTCTGGTACATAATGTAGGACATGGAATAATAATAACGAATCAGTCGCTTGTCCTGCAAGGAGTTGGCAGAAAAACAGCCGGCAATTACACGTGCGTAGGATTCAATGCTGAAGGGGATGGCGAGAGCAAGCCATTCACGTTAAACGTATTATGTAAGCAAACACTTACAAAACAAATTAGTTTATAGAAAAACAAATTTATATTAAACCAAAATAAATGACAGCCAACAATGAAAATGGATATTTTATACCAGAAAGAAATTTTAGAACCACGCTCTCAGCAGTAAATTGTCATAATATTAGGCTTCAATTGTATATCAACTAATCAGTCATGTACCGCTAGATGCTCCGACGTGCCGAAGCTCCCAGCAAAGGGTACATGGCGTGGCGAAGCAGGAGCGCGCGCACATCACATGTCACGTTGACGCCAACCCCGCCGACGTCAGCGTGAGTACTCATTACACATTCTGTTACGTGCACCTTTGACCATGTCAGCACTAGAATTACTACCTAACTATAAATATCTAAGAAATTTTTAGCTACAAACTAAATTGAACTTAAATTTCTTGATACCTATGGCCACATATTACCTAATGAGTTGATGGTGAGGAAGACGTGTATGTCGCCTCTCATTTATAATTATTAGTCTTTTCTAATATCTCGGCGGCTCAAGGTCATCGGCGTGCTGCGCAGTGCCCTCTTCTCGCATCCCGCTACGTTCCGCAACACCAAGAATTGTATTCTGCGAAGCAGTTCGAGCAAAGTTATTTGAAAAGATTTATACCAAGGCACGACTCATCCTTGGGTGCCTCTGCTCTGCCCGTTTACGATTACCAGATTATACAGTACAATACTCTCTGCCGCCTATTTATATGTTAATTCACATTTTTACGCAGTTCCGCTGGACATTCAACAACACAGCGAACAGCAACGAGGTGAGCGATGGTTACGTGTCTCGTTCGGGCACCAGCTCCACCGTCAGCTACACGCCGCGGACCGAGATGGACTATGGAACGTTGCTCTGCTGGGCACACAATCGTATCGGCAAGCAGCGCGTGCCTTGCGTCTATCATATCATTGCCGCCGGTAAGAAGTAGTTTCACTCTCTAATGGAATTGATATAAGAAAAATCAATATTTCCAAAAAAAACTGAAAAGTAGCTAGATGTCTATGTAAAATTATGCAACACCGATGTCCACATTAATTTATATGTAAGTCACTGAACTACAACGTAAAATAAATGTAAGTTTTCATTCAAATTTATGGCAGGTCGACCAGATCAAGTGCATAATTGCACAGTTGTGAACGCTTCATTAACGTCTTTCGGGGTACGTTGTTCAGAAGGATTCAATGGTGGATTACCACAATCATTTCTTCTTGAAGTCCGTGAAATAATTACACAGGTAATGGGACAATTAGTTATTTTCTAAGTCGTGCGTAATGTAAACCGAAATCATATAGCAATGATAAGTAATAAAAATGAGTTTTACAGGAAATTATAGCAAATGTCTCGAGTGCTGTGCCACGTTTCACAGCTGTTGGTTTAGAACCAGGCAAGACGTACGCGGCGGCCGTGCTAGCATACAATGCTAAGGGTCGAGGTGACCCATACCCTCTAAGAGCTAGTACGTTGCGGCCCCCGGAGAAACATCATGTACATGATAAGAGTTTAGGTAAGTAAGTTGTAATATTAGCTTGAATTTCTCTTCAGGGTAAGCCTCTTGTTTAGCACATTTGGTAAATGAATTTTTAAGCTTTCTATGCAATACAACATTTCAGAAACTCGGTAAAAAAAATCAGTTATTGCTTTTTGAATATATTAATATCGTAAATTGTCCGAATATCAGAAAATCTTAATCAGTTTATGGACTTTAGAAGTTTTAATTGTTTACTACTCCAGTAAATTTCATAAAAATTACTTTCATTAGATTTACCAAGAACAGCCTTTCAAATATCCGGAGCGATGTCAGCGGCGGTGGGTGGCGGTGGCGTACTTATGGTAGTACTGGTCCTGTTTATGGTAGCAGTACGACAGAAGTGTGCCAAAAGGAAACCGCGGTCAGCTCCACCGCCATCGTCTCAACCCGCCTCGCCAGATAAACTGCGAGAGAAGGATGATAGTGAAAGTGACGATAGAAATCCAGATATAATACCATCTGATACAGATCATATGCAGGTAAAACCTAAATAAACGTTGGAATATAGATTATAAAGCGAGATAATTTATTTTAGTTAAAGAAACTAAAATAGAATTTATCATAATTTTGAGGAACTGAGGGGGGATTTCATTGGACAATTTGTATTATAACTAGCTGTCGCCCGAAACTCCGTCGCGTGTTATTAAAAAAAAATCTTAATAAGTAGCCTATGTATTCTTCCTGATTATGTTCTAAATATGTGCAAAACAAAGATGAAAATAGTTCCTGGATCATAATTATTAATTAGGAATATCTTTATCAGATCGACTACTTCCGTCAGCAGCAAGTGTCAACAATCTCCCCTCCCCCGGGGAACAGGGCGCCGCGGGGGAGCGTGGCGGGCGTGCGGGGGAGCATACCTGGCTACTGTCCGCTCAGGACAGTCCCACCAGCGCATCCACAGATGCACGATACTACGGTTAGCACCTTTTTCCACTAAGAAATATTATATTTAATTAATTATTAAACCTCACAATTTATATTAGCTGCAATAACAATTAACTCGCATAGCTTTAAGATTAATGTTAGTAACTTAGTCAATAAAACGTTGCTATAGTTATGACTAATTGATTTTAAGGATTTCACTAATTTGGAAATTTATATTAATCACTTGCTTGAGATTATAACATTAGTTGGGGCAAGCGATTTACATAGTATGAATAATTGTTGTTGAGCTCTTTGTCTAATGGTTGTTTGTGATTAGTTCGAGTTCAGAGTCGGCTTTGAACTTAATTGTTTTGTAATATTCGAAAATAGTTGCTATGATTCAATTATGTTTCTATAAACATAAATATAATTTTTAATTTTAAGATTTTGGGTTCGAATTTCGAATAACATTTTTTCTTTTTGTATTTTTTCGTAACCAGAGTCTTAATTAATAAAAAGAGTATTATTTTTAATATTATAAAAATGTAAGTGATATGATTTGAAAATTAATTTGAAACCACGTAATTCTTTTTTCAAAAGAATTGAGCACTTTTAGAGAAATCATTGGGTAACTCTCTCCTTGTAAACTTATTATAGCCTCCATAGTAAATTAAATTATTCAAACTTTCGTGAGACATTATACTAAATTGATATATATATATATATATAAACACGGCTAAACGCTCACGTATATTCTTCCGGTGGCGGCACCGACTAGTTTCGAGCCTATCGGGGGCCCTTCATCAGGATGAGTGGTACTGGTATTATTACACAGACGCGGCTCGTCGCTCACTCTTTGCTTTTTCCATAGTAAATTATTTAAATAGGAAACGAAATTCTAGAATAAATTGCCTCTAGGCTTCGAGAAAACTTCTAGAAGGTTCCAAGTAAAGTATTAATAAACTTATCAGTTATACGAAGCTCAAAATATAATAAGAATACAGTAGTTCTTCGCTAAATTTATATGTGACAAAAGGAAAAATTTTAGTTCTTCGCAATTATACAACAAATGTCCATAAAAGTTACTAATTTAATTAAAAAAGGATCAAGGAGAAACACAATTAGTAAAAAGGTCTTCGTTAATTAGAGAAGTAGATTTACAGAATGGCCAATTTAATGGATAT